AAAAAAAAGAAATTATTTTAAGACAAGACAAAAAAGAAAACCAAAAAACGAAGGGAAAAATATGGGGCCGGCATACAATTATAAGAGGGACTTTACCTAACAAATGCAATCAGTATAACCTAATTCTTTATACCTTCCATGAATCCCAAACAATAAAAAGATCACGCTTATAATCTCAGCACTCTGGGAGGATGAGGTAGGTGGACTCCTGAGCTCAGGAGTCTGAGACCAGCAAGAACTCCCATCTCTAAAATATAGCCGAGCGTTATAGTGGGCACCTGTAGTCACAGCTACTCAAGAGGCTGAGGCAAGAAAATTGCTTGAGCCCAAGCGTTTGAGATCATTGTGAGATGTGATCCCATGGCACTCAACACCAGGTCAACTGAGTGCAACTCTGTCTCAAATAAATAAGAAGGGGAAAAGAGTTTAAAAGAAAAGAAAAATAAGACAACAAAGTTTGCCATGTCAATTGATTTTTCCTTTCCTGAAAGATTTCTCTGTAGCATAGTGATGCTGTCTGATAGAATTTTACCCACAGAATTTCTTTCAAAATTGGAGCCAGTCCTCTCAGACCCTGCCACTGCTTTATCGACTATGTTTATATAATATTATAAATCCTTTTTTGTTATTTTGACAATGTTCACAGTATCTTCACCAGAAGTAGATTCCATCACAAGAAACCACTTTCTTTGCTTATCCATAAAAACCAAGCCCTCGTTGTTCAATTTTATCATAAAATCATAATTCAGTCACCTTTGGAGCCCCATTTATAATTCTAATTCTCTTACTATTTTTACCACAACTGTAGTTACTATCTCCACTGAAGTCATCCGTGAGGGTGAGAATCAACTTCTTCAAACTCCTGTTACATTTATATTTTGACATCCTCCCACGAATCACAAATGTTCTGAATAGTATCTAGAATGGTGAGTCCTTTCCAGAAGGTTTTCAATTTACTTTGTTCACATGCACCAGCGGAATCACTATTTATGGCATCATAGCTTTATATATATTTATTTGTATATATATATATATATATATGACAGAGTCTCACTTTGAGATCCTTGGTAGAGTGCCATGGTGTCATAGCTCACCCCAACCTCCAACTTCTGGGCTGAGGTGATTCTCTTGCCTCAGTCTCTCAAGTACCTGGGACTACAGGCGCCTGCCACAATGCCTGGCCAGTTTTAGAGGCAGGATCTTTCTGTTGCTCAGACTGCTCTCAAACCTGTGAGCTCAGGGCAATCCACCCACCTTGGCTTCCCAGAGTGCTAGGATTACAGGCGTGAGCCACCGCATCTGGCCAGCTAATAGTTTTATAAAATGCATTT